AACAATGTTGTCCAAGTACTGAGCCTTCCCTGGGAACAGAAGGCCCTGGTATGCAGAGGTAGGCATCAGCAGATCTCAGCAGATCGATTTGCTTGATATTTCCTTCTTGTTTGCAAGTTGAAACCAGTTGGCCAACTGGGTGAGGTTGAAGTGTTGGGAAGAGTGATTGATGTAGACTGAAATTTTCATGTTCTGGGGAGAAGTGTGCCAGATAGGAGGGCTGGCTCTGCTTTGCATGCATTCATGAATTGTACACAGTGATAAGGAGTTAGTAGAGGTGGAATTATCTCTCATGGCACATTAGATTTCATTTTAATCATATTCACAACAATAGGTACACTAAAGGCAGAGGGATTGTTTTCAGTAAGAAAATCCAGGATCCAGGGCAAGGGTTTTGGTGAACAGGTAAATGCCAGTATTGAGTCCTAATACTTTGATCTTCAGGCCCTCTGGTGTGTTTCTGTGTCCTCGCATAACTTTGCCCCATTCAGGCACTTCTATTTTAGGCTCCCCACAGAGCACCACATTGGACACGACTCCTTTGCAAACCTGCACAATGTTCTCCTGCCACTCTGGGCTGTTCCTCCCCTTCCCATCTCCCTAGGCCTTCCCTATATTTCTCTGGCTGGATCCTCCCATGATGAGTCACCCCTCTTGGGAGGCCTGGGAACCTGGGCCCCCTGGCCTCACCCCTTGAGCCTGAGCTGATCTCATTCTATTCCTTTCATCTTTCTCTCTGTATCTTACTCTTCTAGGAATGAAGAGCCTTTGAAGTGAGGTCTAAAGGACAAGGCCCAGGACTCTAGGTTCTGGCCTCTCCCTCCTCTTCTCTTACTGGTGATCCTGGGCTAGTCTCTTAGGTGTCCACCAGAGGGACAGGAGGCTGAGTCTCATAATTTTGTATGTATTTCTCACTGATTTTAAGGCAGTGCAGGTCCATTGTGTGCTTATTATGGGTTTGTGGATTGATTCCTTGAATATCACCAGTGTTTGTAACCTAGGGCGGCACTGCCAAGACTTTCTGTTTCCAAGGGAAACTTTCTGTTTCCAGCATATGGACACATTCTCACTAGTTAAAGGTACCATATTAAACTAATGTTTTAACATACAGTGTGAGTGGCAAAGCCAACTGTTTTTTCCAGCAACGAAGCAGTGGTACTTGGAGTGATTTTGCATTGCCAGGGGAGTTGATGAAGTGAAGAAGCCAAGGTGAAAATGTGTTTGCCATTAAACTTGCATGGAATTGGAAATATTTATACAGATGGGCACTTGTCTGGACTATTAGCAAGATTCCTGGATATTGCTTTGTGGTCAGTGTGACTTTATGGTTATTGTCACATTTTCATTTTTTATGCAGAATGACGATAAATAATGTCAATGTTACACAAAACAGCAACTCATTGTTTTTAGACTCTTATTTAGCACCTAGAGTGTGCAAAGATATTCTTAAATACGGGTGGGGAATGGGACTCTGAGGGGAGATGAGATAAAACATGCCCCTTACTGCTTTGAATCATACTTAGGTATCTGCCATTTGATATTGCCACACAGAGATGGGGGGGACTCAATATGCCCTGGATGGAGGAGGAAGTAGTATCAAAAATTGTTTCTGGCATTGAAGTCAGGAGAAAGCTATGTAGAGTGGGGGCTGTGGTGACATCATTGGAGCAGTTGCCAAAGCAATGGTGTTGTAAGGAGAGAGGAGGTAAGGTGACCTGGAGGAAGTGAGAACCAATTTGCTGTTGAGGAAAGAAGTCCTGTATTTGGGAAGAGGCAAGGAGCATTTTGGCTTGGCTTTCCTTTCGCAGCGTGGAGGAAGGTGAGGCTGGCTTCTGATGTAATCTCAAAAGGCTGGGTTCTGCTGGAGTAAGAGGAAGCCACAAGGATTGATTCTGAACTGTTTGATAAGATGAAACAGATTTAGTTGATTGTGTCACGGCTGGACGGGGTTGAGATTAGAACAGCACAATTTTAAATGGTGAAACAAAGCACAGTTCACAGGGCTTTAAAACATCCCTGTTATTTGTCGCCTCAAGGTTGTGGCTATGGGAGAAGAGCTGGGCAAATGGAGAGTGTAAAGAAGTGGATCAGATTGTGTTTGATCTGTACAGTGGGGGAGGGGGTGGGGATGCGGGACAAGGTTGGTCATCTGCAAATGCAGTGCTCTGAGCGAGCTGGAAAGACATCTTGAAAGAACAATCCAATGAAAGCTTACTGGGCCTCTGTCATTGAGATTTCCCGAACATCAGAACCAATGTGAGGCTCCACTTTCCTTTTGCTGAGGAGTAGAGGGTTTAATAAATAAGTGGAATTTAATCTACACTTTTTTTGAGAGAGAGAGAGAGAGAGGGGAGAGAGAGAGATTTTTTTTTAATATTTATTTTTTAGTTTTTTGGTGGAGACAACATCTTTGTTTGTATGTGCTGCTGAGGATTGAACCCGGGCAGCACACATGCCAGGCGAGCGCGCTACCACTGAGCCACATCCCCAACCCTTAATCTGCACTTTGTACATAGAAACTGTTCTGCCACTCTAACTTTCTGGTCCTCTGTTTTGTTTTTGTTCTTGTTTGGCATTTTTACTCCTTCGTTGTTTACAGCAGTGGCTAGAATTCTGCCAAGCCTGCTTTGTTAATTATCAGGCTGAAGGATACTATTGAGACCCTCTTCTGAGTCAAGTTGAAGTTGGAGCTTTCTGGCTCCATCAAGGAAGACTCTAGTTTGTCTGTCTTTGCAAGAAATCTCTCAAATTGTGGCTTCATTTGACTTGGCTTCTGCAAAGATTTTTGGATTAAGACTGAACTATGGGTCTCTGGGATCCTCTAGGTCAGTACTACCCAATAGAAGCAGACTGTAAGCTGCTTGTACAATTGGCAAATTTTCTAGTATCCACATTTTTAAAAAGTGAAAGAAACAGGTAAAATTAAATAACATTTTATTTAATGTAGAATATTCAACATGCACCTATAATATATAATCAGTATATAAGGTTTTGCTTTCTTTTTTCTCCATACTAAGTCTTCAAAATCCAGAGTATCCTTTATACTTATGGCATGTGTCAGTTTGGACTGGCCATGTTTCAAATGTTTTGGAGCCACATGAGGCTGGTGGCTAGTATACTAGACTGTTGAGCTATAGAACAAGACTTTAAAAAAATAGTCTTTATTTTTTTTTTTTTAGGGCAGTTTTATATTCACAGCAAAGTTGAGCAAAGAGTGTAGGGAGCTCCCAAATCCATAGTCCCCCTCCTCCCCACAGGCACAGCCTGCCCTCTTTTGGCATCTTACACCACAGTGGTAGGTTTGCTAGAATCAGTGAACCTACACTGATGTGTCGTTAAAACCCAAAGTCCATAGTTTATGTTAGAGTCCACCCTTTGTCTTGTTCCTTCTGTGAGCTGTGACAAATGTAGAGTGGCATGTGTCCGCCATTACAGTGTCTAACAGAATAATTCCATGGCCTTAACAGTTTTCTGCATTCTACCTCTTCATCCCTTCCTTCCCCCAACTCTTGGCGACCACTGATCTTTATACTGTCTCCACAGTTTTAACCTTTTCCAGAACATCATAAAGATGGAATTATAACAGTTGGTGTCTTTTCAGATTGTCTTCTTTCACTTAGTAATAGGCACTTAGAGTTCCTTGATGTCTTCATGGTTCAATAGCTCATTCCTCTAGAACACTGAGTACTATTCCATCTTCAGGATGGCCCACAGTGTGTTTATAGAGCTGAACTTTTTACAAACCAGAACTGTACCCCAGTGCAGAGACACACTGGGGAGAGGAGGCAGTGAGAGGGTTCAGGAGTGGGACAATGGGAATGGCTGTGATTGCCTTCTTCACCTGACTTGAAAAGCTTGTGTGGGCATCAGGAGGGGAGGAGTGGTCTAGGAGAGCTCCGAATGAAAATCTTGCAGAAATACATGGATAACCACAGGTGAATCCTCTCCTCTGTACTCCTCCACTCCCTCCACAGAGGGCCTGGAATCTGCTTAGTCCAAAATGCTCCTGCAAGTTGATCAATGTCTATGTGAAGTGCTCTCTCCAAACTGGTTTTATGAAAATATTTAGACTAAGCAAGCCATTTGAAGAGACTAGAAAGCTGAATTTCCGTGTGCATCATTCCCTTGATCAGAGAATATTAAGTAAAAAAAACCAAAAACAAACAAACAAACAAACAAAAAACCAGAGTAGTAATTGCTGCGACTTAAATGTCATTCCTGCTTATTCCAGGATGCAGCTCTGCTCTGTTTTTATTTTGGAATGATTATGCAGAATGACCTGTCTTGTCTCAGTTGAAATAAATCCACTGCCAATCGAGCACTCCTTGTGGCAGGGGGTGGGTGTATCAATTCCAGGAACTGTCTGACTGCAAAGCCATTTGTTGCTGCCCAATTAAGTGTATTAACTGGAAGAGAAGGATGTCATTGCCACCATTTTGAATCTTAGATACAGGTTTCAATCCTCTATGGCATGAGTTCATGTCAGAAAATCTGTGTTTGTCTTTTTTTAAATAAACAGTTTAATATCTTCTAAGCATCACTGAACTAAGGAAAGAATTGTGGACCTAGTAATTTGGGGCTCCATTTAGGAATAGGCCAACATGGAAATACTATGGGTTTCAGTTCATATCATAGTTTACAGTCCTTTCTCAAAATGTTAAATTACTTGTGAGAAACAGAAAAGTAGTGATGGGTTGACAGCTTGTCACTTTGGATGAGAAGTGAAAGACTCCGCTCTAAGCCCTTTGAACAAGTTGTATTAGCTTATGAATAGATGGTTTTGCATTCACAGGTCACTCTCCCCAGGTTCTGTTTCACTAGAACATGCAATGTCGAGATTGGTCATCCATTCCAAACCTAAGGCATCTCTTTGAAAAAATTGTTCTAATATCTTCAGATGAAATGGTCCAAGAAGTAGAAATTAGTATCATGAATCACTGTGCTTCAGGGGAAAGAAAAGCCTCTTTGTAAGACTTTGTTGTATTTTTTTTTTTTTCCAGTTTCCTTCAAAATGTCTACTGTTCACGAAATCCTGTGCAAGCTCAGCTTGGAGGGTGATGTAAGTATATAATTTTTCACGTTGTGTAATTTTTCAAATTGGGTATCTCTGCAAAATGGTGCTATTTTTTCCTTCTGCATTAAAATCTTTATTGGTATCAACATTAAAGTTGGACAGTATTAGGGAGATTGAGATGACTGGAATTGTATTCTGCCATTCTTATCATATCAATGGTAATCATTGTTATGATGTAAAGGATTTTTTAATGTTATGCTCCAGGATTTTACTCATATTCAGCATAAGCTTCAACCACATCAAAAAACGATTCTGCCACTTTGGGGCTTTTCTTTTTTGGGATACTGGGGATTGAACTCAGGGGCGTTTGACTACTGAGCCACATCCCCAGCCCTATTTTGTATTTTTTGTTTAGAGACAGGGTCTCACTGAGTTGCTTAGGGCCTCGCTTTTTGCTGAGGCTGGCTTTGAACTCAAGATCCTCCTGCCTCAGCCTCCCTAGCCTCTGGGATTACAGGCTTGTGCCACCACACCTACCTATTTTTGGGCTTCTTAAAGTGAAGTTATTCCAGACCTATACTGTTCTCTTTTTTTAAATTCAGCACCTGGGAAGATTTTTCTCCAAAAAACCTGGAGTTTTTTTTTTCTTTTTCTTAATGAAATAATGAAATTATAATTTACCATATTTCACTTTTTGCTTTGGCTATCATGGAGCTCAGAATTTAATTTGACTTTCACAGGAAATGTGTGACTCTGGACTTCTGATACATTTGCTTCTTCCTTTAATCAATATCTTAAAGCTATCTATAACGTGAATAAAAGCACAAACATTTAGAATCTAGTGGTATATACATTATGAAATGTGAGACGTCTAATAATGCAGACATCTTTCAGGCCATCTTGGCAGAATTGCCTTTTATGAAGACTCAGCTCTGACCCTGGTTTTTAGCTATATCCTGGAGACATTTCACAATGTGCTCTCATTTAAATTAAAGTTCAAAGAAGCATTTAAGAGGATAGACAACAACTTGGGTTATGTGGTACAAATCCTCCAGATTGTGGTGCTGGCCATTAACACATTCCAATGAACATGGGCCAAGCCCAGGTTATGTGGAGGGAAAGCCTGTGCAGGGTTGTTCCTTTTGGTGTTTAAAATCTTTCCTCGTCTCGGAACTTGTGCCTGCTGTTGTTGGCCACATCAGCTGGGTGTTAAGGCCCAGACAAGTCCAGGTGTTATGTAATTTGTTTCTCTAATGGATTTGCTCCTTGGATGGTTTTCAGCATCAAGTTTCTTGAGAAGTAGTCTTTGAAGTTACTCCAGAATAACACATTTCTGTGGGCAAAGAATGGGACTGAAATAGAAAATGGCACATATTACCTGAAACCCCAATAATTTAATTTTCAGACAAGTCAATTTGATAAATAATAGGTTCAGTTATCTATTTAATTTTGTTTCTAGAGATACTTTAAAATCATGTAAACCTTTTCCCCACTCACTGTTCTTTGGGACTAAGATGATGTACCTCCTGACAAAAGCTATAGATAAGGTGGCTCAAAGGCCAGGCTACCTGCCTTTCAAATAAATACCTGATGGCACTCTTGATAAATGGGAAGATAATTGTCCTTACATTTCCATCTGCGTTCCTGTAGCTTTCATAGCAAAACCATATGTATTTCAAAAAATGCATACAGTCTTCCCATTTTCCTGCATAGTTGCTCCATTTTTTATTGAGTTAATCTTACAGGAAAGTTTAAGTAGTGAAATTAGATGAAACATGCTTTACTAATCTATTTGTGTTCCAGAATTTTAAATATTAACTGGATTTACTGTTTGTCCAAGATGCTTCTTCCAAGTGTATTTTGTCTAATCCTGAACTTAGTCCTAATGTGTCATGGGAGACCAGTTAAGAGGGTGGCATCTCGGTTGCTCACCTGAGTAACTTCACTTCTGATAAAGTTAACTGGTGCTGGTGTTGGCATGGTTCATGATGCGATGGCTGTGGGTGGAGAGGTAGGCAGGACACCTCTGTGTGTTGATCATTCACGGAAACTGCACCAAGGCCCTGTCATACCATTATGTGGGCAGTGTGTCCTAGGGAGGGGGTGGCAAGGGAATTGTAAGATGGGGAGCCTTGGCGTGGAGGGTGGGGCAGTTGGTGGAGGGCTCTGTGGCCATCAGCTGACCAAAGCCACAACGTCTGTCCTCTTCGTGTGTGCTTTGGGACTAGGTCACATTTCAAAGAAGGAAGGAAATTAAATCCTGGAAAAGGAGAACTGATGGAGGAGCAGGCTATCGTCCTTCCCTCAGTCTGGGGTGGGGTGGGGGTGGGTAGGGAGAGATCTGCCATCCATCAGTTCAGGGAGAGTCATGGGCTTTGAAAAATGTTGGAAAAGGAAGAGGGGATGATGGCTTAAAAGGCAATAAGAAAAAAAATGCTAGGCAGAGTGGTAGGCAGAGCAGACAGTGTGGAGGTGGAGGAGGAACACTGAGATGAAGGAGAGAGAGAAGCAAGAACTTGGCAAGCCAAAGAGGATGTGGGCCGGCTTGCCAGACCACCTTTGTGCCACAGTGGTGTTCAAAGCGTGGGGTGGTAGAGGAAGATGCTTTTCTTGCTTATCTGATAAGAGACTCCTGGGAAGGCATTTTACATTTTCTTTTTAAAGAACTGGGAGCTCAGCAATCTAGGCCCAAAAGACACTCATGTGCCTGTACCAAAAACTTGCAAGACACACTTGTTGTTTGGGCTTATTCATTTTCAGCTTATTTTGAATTTTTGCTAGGTTAGTTTAATGTCTTCTGAGCCTTCCAGAATAAATGCCCATCTCAGGTTCCCAGTTTGGCCTAGTCTACCTTTGAGATCTTACTCCTGGTAAGATGGCAAGTGGAGATACAGACAGCGTATTCTAAACTGGCTAAACCTTTGAGGAGGGAATTCTTATTAGAAAAAATGAACTTTGTTACCCAGTACGTGGTATCACAGCACGACTTTCCTCGATACCTAGTAGAAGAAGGATTTGAATCATTAAAAAAAATAAGAGTAAAAACATCTGTTTTAGGAATTGTTATTTCAGCAGGAGGGTTTTAAATGTGTGTTATTTGAGTGTGTTTGTGTTTTAATCTCAGCAATCTACACCTGCAAGCGCCTATGGGTCCGTCAAAGCCTACACCAACTTCGATGCCGAGCGGGATGCTCTGAACATCGAGACGGCCATCAAGACCAAAGGTAGGCGACGCATTTGTCCTCTCGGCAGGGTCTCACCAAGACATTCTGAGTCGCCTCTTGATTCTCTGCAAACCTGCTCAGCCCGCATCCCCAACTCTGCTCCTTCTTTCCTTCCTTCCCCACTCCCCCTTTTTGGAGAGAAATGCTATGACATGAGGTGATGTTTAACCAAATATTATGATAAAAGGGAAACCCGTTAAGAGTCAGGGCTGGTCCAGGGTGTGTGCTTTGGGCTGGGTGCTTCACTTTGAGTCCCCAGTCCCTTTTTCATAAGGAAGGAGCTTGTCAGGGGTCCCTAAGGGCCTTTCTTGTTCTGATTCCCCTGCCTTTCTTTATAATTGTTGGGAAATTGCTGCAAAGACTTCACAGCTTGGCTCTTAGGTGGATGTAATGAGTGAACAATCCGGGCTTCTTTCTCTCCCTGTGAGGGACACTCATCCTCAGACCTGCAGCTCGGGTTAGAAGGGCTGTCTGACTAAGAGCATGCCCTTGAGTTCCAGGATGAGTAGGAGGGGACCAGGCCATGTAAAAGCCTCCTTTTCGAAACAAAACAAATAAAACACTTAATTGGTTGGAGTTGAGCAAGAACTCTGGTCATCCTGTTGTTTCCTGATCTGCAAAAGTGCATGTTCAGACTTTTCTGCTTATGCTAATGAATGAACCACTGGGGATTGGCCCATTCTGTGAACCCTTCAAAGTAGTAGTTATTGTAGGAATTTTTATGATTCCCCTCCCTGCTTTGGACAAAGCACTTCCTTCTACCATGAGGCTACATGGAAGTGTAGATGAGACCCAGCAGTTAGAGCAGCTGCTGGTCCACAGCCCTGCTAAATAGCCATGTCACATTTCCCTATAAGGAGAGGGTTTTAAGTTACTGACCCATAATTCACAGCAGGAAGACTGCTTCCTCATGGAAGGACTGAGAAACAGCAACCAGGAGGATCTGGGTACCTTGAACTGGGGCGACAGGCATTAGTTAGTGCCCCGTATACTTGCCACTGTGCCTTTCACTATCAGAACTGCCTGATGTTGGAGGATGAATTACATTCGGCTGTTCCTAAGACCCTTGGAGAAACTGGTGACTGTGTTCTGAGAGACAGAAAGAACAGTAGAAAGGGTCATTGATGTCCTGCGGCTCTAACAAGATATAAGGGGGTACATCATCTGCCTCTTCAGCATCCTTTCGTTGTGGGGACACTATGGGATACCCTTACTTAGAGTGGCTTCCAGGACAGGTGAAAGGAGAGTAGTAGGATCCTAATTAGATCTTTAAAAACGTCATCTTCTTTTTGCTTTAAAATTACCCTTCTTGTCAAGAGTCACTAATCAGAAACTTTAAATCTGCAGGGCTACCTCACTATAGTCTGTTCTTGTCACATTGGCACATTGTGGATGAGAGTATGTGCGGTCCTGGGTTCAAGTCCTGCCTCTGCTGCTCACTAGTGATCTAACTGAGCAAACACTGGACTTGCTTAAGAGTCGATTCCTTACTGTAGAACAGCTGAAGCTCCCACCCCCAGGGCTGTTGTGAAATCTGAAGCACTAAGCGTGGTGCCTGACATAGAGAGTGCTCGAGATACACGTTCCTTAAACCTGTGGACAGAAACGCACAAGGCCTGCTTTCCTAACATTCATCCTCTTTCACTGTTGGGTGTGCCTAGGTTCTTGTGGTTTCCCAACTTGCTGTTGCAGAAACACCCTCGAAGTTTAACAGTTAACTCATTTGACAAAGATGGTGCCTTTTTACAAGCTTGGGATAAAGGGTCCTTTTATCCTTGCATGAGAAAGCCTTCAGCCCACTGGAATGTAAGGATTGCGCAAATGAACTCTGGTCACAGCTGAAACTCTCATGTTAATAAAAATACCTTCAGGCCCTTTCTGGGTTACTAGGAAAATACTGTAGTCCTCAGTAGAAATGTCTGGAGGTCTGAGATGTGGATTCCTGCATTCCAGTTTGGTCCGAAGCAGCTGATCATCATCAGTTATTTATTGAATGTTCCTGGTGGGCAGACACTGCCCTTCAGGCACATTCAGCTTAGGTGAGCTTCAGAGTCATTTGGATGGAATGTCCCAGTTTATGGGTGACATAGTTCAGGATGGATATGCTCCACGTTTCTTGGCCTTGGTTCATCCTGGGATTTCAACACTGCTCTGCCTAGCCCTGGGCATGTGTTCTTAGGCATTACCATGATTTGGCACCCAGCTGTTGGGGTCAGATTTTTTTCTTTGTCTTCCTCTATTTTCAGGCATGAAAAACATGATCCTGTAGTCATTCGATAAGTTTTACACTTGTGGTCCAATTTTAGTTTAGGTACCATCTCTCTCTCTCTCTTTTTTTTCCCCCAGATTTAATGTTTAGTAACTTTCATGTAGGACCACTTTTTAATTATTTACTTATTTATTTTTGGTGCCTAGTGGTTTTAGAGAGTAACTGTTTCCTTAAGTCCGTTTAGTCCTTTAGAATAATTCCTATATTGGCAGTAGTTTTTTTTTTTTTTTTTTTAAACCTTAAATCTATCAAGCTACCTGGGAGTCTGAGGAAGGAAAATCACAATTTTGAAGTCAGTCTGGGCAACTTAGTGAAGCACTGTCTCAAAAAGGGCTGGGGACGTAGCCCGGTGGTAAAGTACTTGTCCAGTCCCCAGAACCACACTACACACAAGCATTAGTGACTGATATATAAAATGAATAATTAATTCATTTTCTTTCTTGTCTTTTCAGTAAATTCTCTATTTTCTAGATATTCTCTGACATGTATCATCTTCCAGTGGAAGACAGTAAACTTAATAAAAACTAAAATGATTTTGTTTTCCAGTGCATGGGATGTTACTATTTTGTTTCTTTCTCCTCCCCCTGATGTTTTTTTTAGATAACTAACACCATTTAGAAAATGAGCTAATTGTGATCTTACTGTAATTAAGAAGTTCCTACCACACCTTGACCCACTTCAAACTCTATGTGGTGTTGGCCTTTCCTTAACATCAAAGGGTACAAAGTGTAAAACCTCAAATGCTGATACAACAAACACAAGCCCAAAGACCAAAAGATAAGTATCTGCACCTCCTTCTCTCCTAGATAAGGTAGGCTGTGTGCCTACCACCTGCAGAGCAGGAAGGGACATTTCAGCTCCATCTGATGTTCCCTATCATCTGTGTGCTCTGGGAGGGAGAGCTGGGAGCAGGTCACCTGTGGCAGATTACTTAATGTGTTGCCGTTGAACACAAGGACTGTAAGCAGGAGCAATGCTAGGAGGGGCAGAGTTGCCTGAAAGTCCAGCTCTTACCCTCCCCCCTCCCCAGCCCCGCTGGGTCCCACCTGTGGGCTGTGTTGGCAGCTGTCTTTAATGGGCCCCTCTGCCACACCCAATGCACATTCTTTTTCTAGCTTCATCTTGAGCTCTAGCGGATGCCCCCAACAGATGGGCCTCTGCCTTGGCTCCTGCAGGACTGCGTGCAAGTCCCCCTTCCTCCCACCTCCTGACGCCCACACAGCTGCTGCTCACCTCTCTGCCCTGAGTGCTGCTGGCTGTTCTTCAGGCCTTCTCTGGGGAGGCAGCAGAGTCGTCGGTGATTCCTTGATGTGCTTCTTCTTTCTACTTTACATCCTCCTTTATGGCTCTTGTCACATCATGTTGTCATATTTACCTCTGCATTTGTCTCTCTTTAAGGGCAAGGATTTTATTTCATAAAAACTTTTCAATGCCCAGGCTCTTGGATTATGTGAGATGGTAAAACTTTAACCCCAATAGTAGTCAAAAAGTGTCCATTTACCAGTGCACACAGGTGAATGCGGGTGAGCAGGGACACCTGAGAGAGCAAAGGTTGTTCCAGAGTCTAGATGATATCCAGGAAAGATAATAGTTCCCCAGTGAGCTCGGGTCTGTTTTTAGGGTCTGAATTCCATTCTCGATCCTAAGTCGGCTTTGTTTGTGGTTTGAAAGGATTTGATTGTGTCACCTAAGCCAAAGCATGGTTGTTCTGTGTGTGCTCTGGCTTGAGGTAGACTATGCAATTACTTATGTTAATTCACGTCTAGTTAGAAACTGAGTTAAGCCATGCAAAAGTAGTAATATTGCTTAATTAACAAGAGGTTTCTGAGATTTAATCTGTAGGAGTCTCTTGGTCTACATTGGCCTTGGGTTAAATATATACTGTGGAGTGTACAACACAGCTGTGAATGGTTTACCATATGGGTCCAAATAACTAGAAAGGAAAGTCAGCTAAATTAGAAAAGGATGAATCTAGACTACATAAAATAGGTTGTAATTAGCAGCAGCACAACCCCCGAGTTAGTGTAAGTGCCAATAAACTGGCACAGCTTTGGTCTCTCTGGAAGGGGAGGGTGATGAATTGCTCTATTATTATTGCCACTTTTGAATTTAGCAGTATTTGTGTTCTCCGGAAGGGGTGCAAAAGCGGGTGATTTCCCCCCACCCTTCTCATAAGCACAAATATAGAAGCATAACTGTGGCAAGTTTTTGCACTTATTTTCTTCTTATACTTTCAAAATAGAACTGCTTAAGATTTCCAGCATGGTCAAAAGAGTAACATCCCATGCACTGGAAAGTGAGCCAGCACCTGTATTTTGGGTTTCATCTGCACACCTGGAGCTATTCATTCCTTTAGCTGAGCACAGCAGCGAAGCATATATTCTCTTGAGGGTACCAGGAGGCAGGTTGGCTGGGAAAAGAGCCTTTCACCTGTGAGATCAGGGTGATGAGGAGCCAGACCTAGGAGAGGCAGCCATGGGAGTGAGAGCCCAGTGTGGCCCAGTACCTTCTCTCCTTTTGGAAGGAGCTGCCAGAAGTCCAACCTTCCCCATTACTGAGGCCTTCGTCTTCACGTTCAAATTTACTTTAGACCCAGTTCCCATCTCACAGCAGTGGTGGGAGCCTGAGGCCAGTTTGAATCATATCACCTTTACTCTGTGAGCACAGAGTTCCTTTGTAATGGTATTTGTCTGCATAGCTGTGTAGGTGCCAGACCCAAGCCAGGTGGCTATAACACACAGGGAAAAGAGTCCCCTGGCCTCCTAATTGTTGGCGTCAGCTTTCATTGCTGCCTCTCCTGGCTGCTTTTTCCTTTGTGAGAGCTGTAACCTCTTTTCCCTGCAGAAATCCCAATACTGGCTTCACCCAGGGACTCTGAAAGTAACCAGACTCTTACTGGGGTCAGCACCTCTGAGTAACCCCCAGGTAAGGGCGGGCCTGCTGTGTTCCCTGGCTTCTGCTTTTTTCCCCTTTTCCTTTTCGTGAGAGAGTTAGAGCAGCAGAGCACAGGATGGTGCATGTATTTTATGTGTGTTCCTTCATTTATAATTTGAATCTCTTGCTTTTGTTTTCCTACTGGTCCTGGGAAGCAGACAGGGTTCTTCTAGATCATTCAAGTATCCAATGGAATTACCAAGTAGATGATGTCTTAGCTCCTATCTAAGGAGCTCAGCTGAGGTGGGATCAGAGCAAAATGACAATAGAACACATTTTATTTCTGCACCAAAATTTCTTGGGCACTTAGCTCAACTAGACTTTTCCTGAGTTGGGACTGTGTCCCCGGCTCTGCCAGACTTGGCAGAGGCCCAGGGCTCTCCCATTCTCGTCCTGTCTGGTGTTTGTTTTCTCTCCATCCCTCAGGCAGCTGTCAGAGTTTATCCTGTAACTGGATTATTCATCTATGTGAGCTAATGGCAAAATTGTTCCCCATCTCCTCTATACCCTATATTTTTGTAGACAACCCCTTCCCCAAATTGAATGCACGCAGGAGCCAGAGAATACAGTCGACACGTCGCCATTCATTCACTCAATTAGTCTTTTTTTTTTTAATATTTATTTTTCAGTCGGACACAATAGTTTTATTTTGTTTATTTTTATGTGGTGCTGAGGATTGAACCCAGGGCCTCGAAAGTGCTAGGCAAGCGCTCTACTGCTGAGCCACAACCCCAGCCCTCAACTAGTCTTTTCTGCATCCTGGAAAAATAAGTATTTTTGTCGTCTCTGTCCCAGAGTGAGAATGCTGGGAATAGGGAGGGAGACTGTGCCCCAGGATCTTGCCGGTCTTTGTCCTGTGTGCTTCCCAGAGCGCTCCTGTCACTGCTGCTTATTCAGAGTTCTCTCCTTTTATCTGTTGCCCCTCCTGGTTGGATTCTCTAAGTTCCATTTTGCCAAATGATTGAGAGGGCAGGAATTCCAGGCTTCCTAGCACCAGGGCTGATGGCAGGAAGGTTCTTTTGGGCAATGATGTGTGTGTATTGGGTCAGGGGCTTCTCTATCCTAAAACCACACCAGTAGATGGATGAGTAGCCAGCATAACAAGCTTAGTGCAAAAGATCGCCTCTCTCCACCAAGTTCTTAATGGCTATATCTGGAAGAGAGTGTTCTAGCCCCTCTGTTAAAAAAAACTCAATTGGGTTATTTCTTCAGTAGCTACGCATTGTTACTGCATGTCAAATTATCACCTACAGGTTGCTAACTGTGAGTGCATTTGTATGACTAAATAGTTCTATACATGTACAGACATATTACCATTCCCAGTCCTTTCTTAGGACCTAGATAGAGGAGTGTGATATGAAGAAATATCATAAGTATAATTTCAAAAAGGTACAGACATGACTCATACATATAGGATAAACATATGTTGAGCATTAGCAACGGGGATAATAATCACATCCACTTCATGTGGATGTAAGAAAAATGACAGGATATATGCAAAGCACTTAATACAATGCCTGGCACACAGTAGGTGCACAGGGGAAGGTTGTTGTTCTAATGAGTAAAACATGTTCATGTGAATATATCCTTGGATCTGTGGTCTGCCCTCTTTGTGTGGCATGCCTCTGACCTTAATATAAAGATGATATCTTCCAAAATTTGATACCACTATGCCTAGAAATCTGAGCTGAATCATGATTTCTCCCATGATCTAGATAAGGAGAGGATCTGGGCAATTTTCCTTTACTTTTCAACCCATCACCACCACCCTACGGGCTCCTGAGCTTTTCATCAAACACAAATGAAATCCATTTTCTTTGTGCAGTCAGTGTGTCTCCACAGCTGTGAGTCAGCATCCTGTTCCAAATGGCTGTTGGTTCATTGCCATGAACAATAAAGACACACATTTTCCATGGAGCTGACTTGGGGTTTCTACCCACAGCGAGGAGGAGGAAACTCCAGGAGGCAGATTTTGTGGTTTTTGGACTCAGCCATCATTTTAGACTGCAAGTCTTCTTTGTCTTGAAAAATGTGGTGGGTGACTGAAGACACCCAGGACCCCAAAGTTGGCTGCTTGAGCCCGCTGACAGCGGTGCCTTCCTGTAGCCTTCAATGCAGAATGATTACTTCAGGTCTACTGGCATTTAGAACAGTGACTGACCTTTGGATTCCCCCAACTGGAGTGTTGAAAACGCTGTAGTTAACTGACTAGATTATCTGACTATTTTCTTTCAAGGAGTAGATGCTTTTTAAAAACCTCCTTGTTCTATTTCCCATCAGGAGCCAAATGAGTACATTTGTGTTTTGTTTCCTCACCAGTGTTGCAAAAGCTTAACTTCTATTTGTTTAGTTCTTTTTAAAATTTATTCTTTTTAAATGACATGACATAAATTTATTCATTTACATGACAGTAGAGTGTATTTTGACATATCATACATACGTGGAGGATAACTTCCCGTTCTTGAGGTCGTACATGATGTGGAGCTACACTGGTCGTGTGTTCATATATGAACAAGGAAAGTTACGTCCAATTCATTCTACTGTCTTTTGTTCCCATCCCCCCTTCCTTTCATTCCCCTTTGTCTAATCCAGTGAACTTCTATTCTTCCCTCCTTCATTTTTATTAGTTTTTGAAAAATACATTTTAAAAAGTCTGCCTGGATCCCAGCATTGAGCATGTCATCCTCTACCCTTTGTGGAATTCTCCCCCACATCACTGTTCCCCAGTGTGAGTCTTTGCTTAGAGGACTTCGTGACCACCTGTATCAAACACAGGGGGATGGGATGGAAAAGAAAGCCTTGTTCAGGTTTGTTTCTTCTTCAAGTTTTGCCCCACCCGCCCAGTTTCTGTTAGTCCCTAAATCCTTCTGTCCAGCAAACCCTTTCCTAAGCACTGGAAAATGAGAAGTCAGAAGGTACAGATTCAGAGGCAGAGCCTCTTCTCACAGGTATCTGCAGCTGTGTTCACTGTAGAGCTTTCCCGGCTCCAGGCACTGGCCATGTGCTGTTGGTGGTTGTGCTGAGGTAGCTCGGCGTTCAGCTGCCTCCTTCCTGCATCTTGGGCAGCAGTGGAGAGGAACCATTTGACCCTTGGAGCTTTAACCTGTACCATGTATTTTCCACAAGAGTAAACTGCTTCATCCATTAGGATAGCAGGTCGAGGGGAAGCGGCGGTGTCCTAAAGATAAGATGGTTCAGTCTCACTGGCAGATACACTGTTCTGGTGTTCCAGTGTAGGTCCTGCCTTTAGCAGCATTGACCAGGCAGATGATCCTGGGCTCCATGAATTTTTCCTCTTTCCAGTTCAATTGGAAACATGCATGCAATGGTATGGGAGAAATAGCTGATGTGGGTGGAGTTTTGGGAAGGAGTCTTCCACTTGCTGAAACTCCATTTAGTTTCTTTATGGTTGCTGGCATTAATTAGCATGTGTGTAGTGCATCCGTGATCCCATCTCAGTGGCTGTTTGCTTGGTAAATAATTCAGGTGAATGCATTGGGATGCCTTCAGACTACAGTTGGTGCTGCCTCTTAGGTGAAATTCAGGTTAATCATCAGGGCTTTTATGGGGATTTCCAATAATTGGATTGAATTCCAACTCTGCTGGCTGGTCACTTAACTGTTATACAAAGGCAAAGAACTGTTTCACTGAGAGCAGAGAACTATACAGCAGTCTGTGAACTGAACTCTTCTTCGGTGTTTTTTCTTACCTGGGTTGTTTTGACAAAAACAAGCAATAAAAAGGGAATAACCTAAAATTACAGTCAGCCCCATGCATCATAGAAACAGCTGGTAGAAGTGAAACAAGTCATACACAGGCTGCTTTCCAACAGCCTTCCCACTCTCCTCCCGTAGTTGTCCATCTCTGTCACTGAGTCTCACTCAAGGGGTTGCCTGGGTGTTATTGAAATGCTGCTTCTGGGGTCCTACATTCTAGGTAATCTTAATCAGTAGAGCTCAGATAGGATCTAGGGGATTGTGTTTTTAATAAATATTCCTGGGGATTTCAGTGGTGGCCAGTCAGGGACCACATCTGACACAGACGTACCCTTTGCTTTTGTTTCTGAGAAAATCATGTATTATGGGTCAGTATTCTATGTTCAGGTCAGTGGCTGGTAAGTTGATTTCAGGAAATATTAGAATTGAGGTTAGAGAGTAGAATTGTGTTTCATTGTGATTCTTCATTTTCAGATATGGATAATAAAGTTAAATATAAGGCAAAAATACATTAATAAGAGGATTACACATGTATGTGGGTAGGTGTGCACACCACTAGTCCATTAAGTAGCCTCAATACCAGCTATGTGGGCATATGTCTGTAATCCCAGTGCCTGGAGAGGCTGAGGCAGGAGGATGGCAAGTTTGAGACCAAACTCAGCAACTTATTAAGACTCTCAGTAATTGAGTGAGACCTTGCCTTAAAAGAAAATAAAAAGAATTGGGGATGTAGCTCAGTGGTAAAATTCAATCCACGGTACCAAGGAAGTGAGTAAATGAATGAATGAATGAATAAATAAATAAAATAGCCTTGTAACCTTATTGAGTTTGTGATTAAAACTTCCCAGCCCATTCCTAATGAAAACTAAATATAAATTTAGACATGATTCTGTTCTGTAGTGTGGAGATGGAGGTCATTATTCATGCTCCTTCCTTTGTGTGAGTGTAGACACTGAGATCCAGGGGGACAGGTGTCTACACAAGTAACAGATGCAGAGCTGGGTCCCTGTCTCTGAGCACTGAATTCCTCATCTATAAATAGAAAGAGAAATAGCTGTGCCCACTTGATTGTTTTGAGGATTAAGTAAGATAGCATGTGTTAGGATGTTGGGAGACAGAAAGGGAATTACATGGATATAATTCCTTGTTATTATGCATACTGTGTTTTATTCTAAAGGAAGTATTTAGAATTACATTAGGGATCTCTTGAAGTAATTTGTTGACTCTAGATCAGTAACTGCACATCATTTACTATGTACTTAAAAAATGCTTTTTGTGGTCATAGTCATCTCACCCCTCAGATGATCACTATTCAAATTTTGGTATAAAGGCTTCTAGATATTTTCTTACACATGCACATGAATGTGTAAATGCCTACATAGTATTCCATTATTTGAACAAGAGAACATTTAATCCATCTCTTTTGGACATAGGGGTTTTTCCCCTTTATTTTTTTGATATTGCATACAAAACTGAAATAAGCATCTTTGAAGCTGACTCCATGCAGTGATTGGGTTTCTATGTTTACTTTGCTTCTCTAAAAATCAGAACTAAAGTTATAGATGCTTCAGTTAAGATAGCAACATATTAGTATGAACTCCCTTTGAAATAAGTATGTACATTTTAAAAAGTGTTGTTTTTATACCCAGAAATTCTAACTTCGTGATTTTTGGACTAATACACTTGAGAGTAAAGGTACCACCTCTGTGAGTCTGCTCATTGCTTTTGCCTCAAAATATTACTTTTCTGGCCTCTGTTTCTTTCAGATTCCTCTGGTTCCCTCTGGGTCAAGCTGTTTGCAGTTTGCCAGTGACCTTGTGGGTTTAGCAGTTATGTCCTGTCATCCAGAATTACCTATCCAGTTATGGCAGAGACTTTCCTTTTATTAAACAAAGTTCATAATCACCCAGGAGAGGGACGTTTCGCATTCTGAATCCTTAAAATCATGCTTTCTTAAGTTAAATGGCATGTTAGGAGTATTTCTGATATAGAATTGGAAACTCGGATACCAGAAGGCATTGCTTATCTTTGTAAATACACATGTTCCAATTAAAATAGGTACTAAAATATTTTGGTGGCACTTCAAAACTCCCAATTTAGATTTAATTTAGATTAAAACACTTACTCTTTTTAATAAAGTTATAAAATTGATTATTAAAATTGCCTATTGGAGATTAAAAGCAGCAGAACGTTTATTTTCCTTACAAAACAATTTAGTCTTCAATAAGTCTGATTATATTAATCAATTATGCTATTAAAATACAACTGCCATATTAAATCTGACTCATTTGTCATGACAGTTTCTATAATTATAAAAATTACACCTAGCTGCTTATATAGTCATAATCCTGCAATAAATATAAATAATTGCCTCTATTAATTCATTTTTGCAGTTACTGTCTATTAAATTCCCAGTTACATAGCAATTTGGCGACCTTCACTTAAAATCCTCCTAAATCTTTGTTGTTCCATTTGACTGCCAAAGCTCCACAAATGCACCTCCTACTGTTGATTCCAGAAACCAATTTAGGAATAAAATAGTTTTTAAATACAAATATTTAAAAGGTTCATTTAGGCTTGAGGTTTGAAGCTTTCAAGGAAAAAAGGAAAGAGGTGTACACGTTGGGTAGAGCATGCTGACCAAAGAGAGAAAACTAATCTTGGCGTTCTAGTATTTCAGTTTGAAAAATTCTACTTAAGACCTTTGAACTAAGCCCAAAGTACCAGAATGTACAGCTGAGTAACTATTCACAACTGTTTTTTTTTCATAGGTGTGGATGAGGTCACCATCGTCAACATTTTGACTAACCGCAGCAATGCACAGAGGCAGGATATCGCCTTCGCCTACCAGAGAAGGACCAAAAAGGTATGGGTAATTTCAGGGATGGAGGGCATGCCATGTTGAATTTAATTTCCTTGGCCATTGTGTTTTCTTTTTGTGGATTATGGCTTTCACCAGCTAGGACCTTTGGGAACGCTTGCATGTCCAAGGTTTCCCTCTTACGTCCTTGTAAGGGTTACTCCTCTTGTCCATGTGGGAGCTCATACATAAAGATAACACCCTTTATTCCAACCCTCTCTTACTCCATCTCAGCCTACATGAAAGGAACAGTTCTGGGAAGGGAAAGTTAGGAAGGAACAGAGAATAACAGAGTGCTTACCAGGTGCCAGGCACTGTGTTCAGTTCTCTTGTTTCATCTTTATGACTTCTGATGGCTTCTTGATATGGTGTTTCTAATTTAATTTCAGGACTGTTGCCTCCACTGAGTACTGATGGTAACACATTCCTCTCATTCTTTAAAAAAAAAAAAAAACACCACTCAGATTCTTAAGAGTTTTGCCACAAATGGGCTTCGTTGGTAGTACATCGGGTCTACCAGGCTATCTTCAGCATGCCATGCTCTACTATTTAAAGAATCTTTGTGTGCTTTTTCCCTTCATTTGTCCACTGGTGGTTAAAGAGCAACCAGCACTTGTTCATCCTTTATTTTGTTGCAGTGTTAGGAAATTTTATTTTTAAGGATGTGCTGCTTTATTTTTAACTTCTTGCTATTAAAAGCTTTTGATTTATTCTTGGACAGTGCAGTAAGAGTGGCTTCCTGCAGCTCCTGTTTGACTTAGGGCTTTCACTTATAGCTACAGTAGAGGTGAACTGGAAGGATTCTGGAAGAGAATTTCTGTTTTTGGGATTGACATGACCACCAGGGTCCTGGGAGTTGCAGGTCAAGCCTTTCTGTAGCTCCTTCCTTCACCCTCTGAAACAGTTGGAAAGGACAGAAATAGGAAAGCAGCTGGCTTCTTTCATCTCATATGCATTACAATTCTTCTTCCACTAGATTTATATTAATCTTCTATGGTGAAGCATGGAGGGGAGTGTTTTATTTCTGCACTTTCCCCAAAGGATTTATGAGCGAGCAGAGCCAAGTTTCTGTTGGAACAGAAGGTCCACCACTTTGGACAGTAGACAAATAATTGCTCATTCAGCTGTTACTTACATAGTGGGGTCTTGGAACACACTAGTGTATACACAAACATAGAGGCCCCAGTCTCGATTTCAAATTAGGTAGGTGGAGAATAAAGCCCCCATGTACCCTGTTGGAAGGAATGTATTACCAGAATTGTGGTGGGGTTGTTGCTATGTGATGGGGACAGCTCACTGTCCTGCTGATTCTTAAGGACTCACAGCCTTGGGCCAGGGAGAATCTTCTTTCACAGAAAGAGAGAGCCTCTGAAGGAAATCTCAGAAGCAGAGCCATCTGAGTTGTTTGCAGAGTTCTGTGGGGAGATGGACCGAGGCTGCCCAGGTGGTGAGCTTGAAGACCCAGGCGCAGCCAGCAGATGTGGAGATAAGCTGGAGTGGAGAGAGGACTGATTTTCTGTTTCTTTCATGTTTAAGCAGATGCCAGGTGTGAGGTGTTCCTATATCAAGAATGGTTTTATTTATCATTTTTGGAATTTTTGCTAAGTGCAGAGCCTTGTGGTGAACATTAGAAGAAACAGGAAGTTGTATGCCCATGAGGAGTTCAGAATAGACCTGGAAGAAGTCAAATAGGTGCCCAAATGCTATTCGAGGTCTGAGCAGAGAATGGGTAGTGGGGAGTGTCAAAGGTAGGCTAAGTTTGGAATCACCTAACCTCAACGTTCCAAATTGGAAAACTGGTGTTATAATTAGGAGGTGGTGCTTTGAAAATCTAAGTGTGTTCTTAGCACATGGGGAAGCTGGAAAACGTAGGCGGCCAAAGCATTGGGCCTGATGATTTCTCAGATCCATGTCAATTCTAATCATCTTGACATGGATGAATTATTTGAGAAGATAATCTCTGAAGCGGGCTGCACATCACCTGCAGAGCTTGCAGGTTACCTCCACGGGCTGAACATCATCGATTTTGAGGCCACCATTGGAAAGCAGGCAGGAAAGAAAGTAGGGAGAAAAAAAGGATAATAATAAAAAGAAAGAGGATTAAAATGGTAGAGCTAGCCATGACCCACTGCCCATGGTTTGTAGAATATTTAATCCCTGAGGAAGCATCTTTAAAAGCCATATTGAATTAGGTGCTGCCTCAGACCTCTGACTTAAAATAACGCGTTCTTGGTGACACACAATCGAGAAACAATACACAGCAGGCAAGTGAAGGGGAGTCTGGGGGGTTTAGTTCCCATCAACACCATCCTGATTCAGTAGGGACAAGTTGGTGTTTCCTCAGTAGCAGTTAAAGCGTTTTGTACAGGGAAGCTTCATAACCCCACTGCTGCCACGTTGGGGTCTGTGGTTCTTCTGGAGGTTTTCAGGCACCCCCCCCCCCCCCCGTAACAGCTGCAGGCAGACCTTCTGTTGTAGGATCTCAGCAGATCCCGAGGACTCTCTCGCCAGGAGGCTGTCCTCTCTAACTACCTCCTTCCTGGCAGAGGCCTCACACCAGAACCTGCCTTGTCTTCCACGGGGTATTGTGATGCCTTCATGCTCAGAGTTCGTTTCTTTTTCTTTGTTTATTTTTTGTGTGTTGTGTGTTTTTTGTCGTAATCATGAACCCATTAAATGAGCAGAACCCATTAAATGGGCACCTCTGTGACATAAACATGCATGTGTCCCTAATGCCCTCTCCTGCCCTCCCCTCTCATTTTGAAGCTTTCTGAGGAATTGCTTGCCATTCTAGTTTCCTTTTCATGATTAGGAGACGGCAAAATCAGCTTGGGTTTTAATGGGTGCAAAACCTGATAGCTAGGGTTCTGGGTCTGACAAAGGGAATGCGGTAGAGGGAGTTTGACCTAGGACTCCAGAGTGGTCAGAGTCCTCTTACTTTTGTTTTTCTCTCCAGTTTTAAAATGAATATTGGTTACCATGTTTGCTATGTGATTGCTGTTTTTCTAAAGGAACTTGCATCAGCACTGAAATCAGCCTTATCTGGCCACCTGGAGACTGTGATTTTGGGCCTATTGAAGACACCTGCTCAGTATGATGCTTCGGAGCTGAAAGCTTCCATGAAGGTAAACACGTGTGAAATGTTATCTCTGTCAAATCTGCCATTAATATTTGTGAATTACAGCTATTTGAGTGTAATTAGGTGATTTTCAGTTTTGTTGAATTCTCATTTGGATTTTTTTTTTTTAATGAACTGAAGCTATAAGTTTCAGGATTTGTACCAAAAATATTTCATTTACTTTTTTTAAGACTGCAAAGAAATTTCATGATGCTGAGAAGTCAGTTACCAGCTGCTACGACTTGGCACCTGGGCGATTGGAATGCCATTTGGGAAAACTACTTCCTTGATTACACTTCCTCCTTAAGAAAGATATGTTGTGATATTAAGGAGAAAGAAGAACTCGTAGCTTTTGTTAAGCAGAGCTTGCAAATTCTGCCTGTGCATTTGTGAGCGTTTCTTCCTCTGCCCTTCTCCCTGTCATATCCCATTGTTTGTTTCAAATTCCAACAAAATCAGAACAGCATAGTACACATGAGGGGTGATTTCAGAATGTGAAGGGTGTCTGTGTTTAGTTCAAAGTCTTTCAGGGATGTTATATCTCTCATGTTTTTCAAAGTTATCTCGAACTTGTAATTTTAGGTAAATTAGCAAAAATTCTAGGTTGTAACCCCTCTGAATTTTGTGTATCCCTAAAGTACCAAATATTTAAGTGTAATGGATGCATAAACGTATGCAACAGCAAAGTCCATGACCCTTTTCAGTGTGTGCTTGCATGCAACTCTTTGAGTAATCTGCTACTGCCCCCTGCTGGTACAACTGGGAAAAGCCTCCGTAGCTGGGGATTGCCTTAGTTCTCCGATATTTTATCCTAAGTCTGTATTTTCTGTGATGCCACTGTTTCTGAATTATGAACTGAGCTAGAAGCCTGCCAGCCAAGCTAATGTCCCAGTTCAGTTGTCATCCTTTCCCCAGAGAGCACCTCAGGATGAGGCTGCTTCACACGCATTTCCAGGTCCCTGGGACTTCATAGCTCAGGGCTGCTTCAAGATCTGTTGTTAAATCCCTTTCTTTCAGTTCTTCATGAAGAACTGAAAGCTCAAGCTACTCTTTGTTTATGTGGACTTGCTCTGAGTTTTTTCAGCCGTTTATACTGCAGGAAAGGTATAATCAAGAATGATGATGTGCTAACAACACTTAATGAAATGGCTTGATAAGACAGCACTCCTGCAACCAAGGCTTTGGACCTTTGGAGCCATGTTGGCCTCTCCAAGGTTTCTGCTGATCTTCAACACTCAGATCAGATTATCATATTTTCATCAAGAATCTATTTAGTTGTGATTTCCTGTGATTTTACTAGGACCTATTACTAGGTTTTAGTGACTTGAAACAGACCTGTCTGAGCTATCAGTCACTGTTGTAATCTATGTAATTGGACCCCATGAAGGGTGCTTTAACTGCTAAATCTTTGACCCTGTGCCAGTTCTTCCATTAGCTATCATAGTTGAGTACCCTTCTGAAATCCATAAAGCTTGAAGTGATATTAACTGAACTATTCTTTTTTAAAATAAATAAATAAATAAGTCTGTTTTGACTTCTGGCGATACCAGTAACAGTATCTGCCATATGTTATAGGAGAAATTGCCCTTGTGATAGGAATCCTGGGCAATCTAGGGAAACTTTGGGCCAAGTTATGGAAATTACCAAGGTCACCTTCAAATGTAGAGATCAAAACACTTGAAATTTCTTAGATAGTAACACTGGCATATCATTGGTGGGAGGAAACAAACCTTTCATTACTCACCTATCTTTCCTTTCTAAAGTGTCGGGGTATAGCATTTCTTTCAACACATGAGTTGCTTTTAGACTGTATTTCAATCATCCTTGAAACTGCCCCTCCCTATAATATTCAAAGATCCTCAGTAGTCATTTCACAGCATCTATGTACAATGTGGTGTGGACCTTTTGCTAACAAGGGAAGGATTCTTGGCTTTGCTGGAACCTCTACACATCATGATAAAAGCCCTGGAGGAAGAGCCATTGGCTCAAAGATTAGATTAAGAATAAAATTCAAAATTAACCATTCACCTGAGGCTTAGCTTAGATTATACATACTACTTTTTCAAGGGCATATAAACCCTAATAAGTTTAATTAATAGCTGACACATTTTTCGTGTGGATAAGTAAGTTTCTTATTGTATTAACACCTTATAATTGATTTACATTTTAAACAGTTGTAATTCTACTTAGTTCAAAGTGATATTTCCATATTCGGAAAGACAAGTATTAGAGAATCCTGATTATTAAATCTTGACTTTGATCATGAAGCCAGCTTTGAAATACATGTTTCATTGAGTCCTTTCAAGCTATCTGGCACACTCAAAATTGTATATATTAAATTTGAATTCATCACTCATCAAATTCTTATTCCTTAATAAAGTGTTGGTGTCGAGGTTTATTTGGCACTTCATTATTTCCTTTTGCTTCTCTAAAATGCCCGAAGAGTGCATAATAATCAAGCAAAAATGGAAGTACAAGAATGAAATTTTTAACATTAACCCAATTTTACATTTCAAAGAAGAGAAGTTAAAAATTTTATCTTAACTGTACCTTTCTCTGGCAAGAAGGACTTATTCTAATTTACCATTGGTGTCCACAAATGACAACATCAAATTTCTATGTTCCTTTATTTTAGATTAGTGAGAAGGGTTGTTAATGAAGATAGTTCTTTCCCATTTATTAAAGTTGTGAGTGGTTATGGTAGAAATTAAAAAGTAAAGAAAACTAGGAAGAAGAAAGAGTTATTTTTTCAACCTGTCATCAAAGGACAACTATTTTTAACATTCCCACACATTTAAAAGTAATTTTAACATAGTTGAACTCAAACATGCCACTCATGCCATCTTGTGCTCTGGGGAGGTATTTTTTAAAGGAATAGAAAAATGCCATTGTTTTGTTGAAGACTATAGTACAGATTGCTGAGTAGGCATGTGGAAAGGAAAATGCCAACAGACCCAATCCATGTTTGAAGTTTACCTGATAGAGATGAGCGAAGGAGGCCATTGATGAGGAAGATGGCTGATGACTGTGCTTCTTGGTTCACAGGGGCTGGGAACTGACGAGGACTCTCTCATCGAGATCATCTGCTCAAGAACCAACCAGGAGCTCCAGGAAATTAACAGAGTCTACAAGGAAAGTGAGTAGCCCTGTTTCTGTGATCCATCCTCTCAGCTGAGTTTCTATGACTCCCTCATGGCCACCCCAGTCAGTGTTTGGGAGGGGGAGCTGGGATTGTGAACACATAGCAGGAGCTGCCATGTTGGCCTTCCCGGTGAGGCTGGACATGGTCCTGGCCCCTGTCCTCCACCTCCTTGTTGCCCATGTTTTTAGCTTTTTTTTTTTTTTTTTTTGGTATCAGGGATTGAACTCAGAGGCACTCAACCACTCAGCCACATCCCCAGCTCTATTTTGTATTTTATTTAGAGACAGGGTCTCACTGAGTTGCTTAGCACCTTGCTAAGGCTGGCTTTGAACTCATGATCCTCCTGCCTCACACACCCCCGCCCCCACCAGCCACTGGGATTACAGGCATGCACCACTGTGCCTGGCTGCTTGTGGTTTTTTTTGTTCATTTGTTTGTTTTGTTATATATATATATATATATATATATATATATATATATATATATATATTTTTTGTTTGTTTGTAGCTGTAGATGGACAGCATGCCTTTATTTTAATTGCTGTTTTTTGTATAGAGCGCTAAGGATCAAACCCAATGCCTCACCCATGCTAGGCAAGCACTCTGCCACTGAGCCCCAGTCACAGCCCAACTGTTTTGTTTTGTTTTAAAATATTTTTAGTTGTAGGTGGACACAATACTTTTTTATTTATTTTTATGTGGTGCTGAGGATCGAACCCAGTGTCTCACATGTGTTAGGCAAGCACTGTACCACTGAACCACAACCTCAGCCTCCTGTATTGATTATTACATTTTACTAGAACTTTTGCAAAAGGATAAATAGGAGGGAAAGGGTAGAAAAAAATTATTTCTAAAAAAGATCTGATAGGGAGAAGAAAGTACTATATACATATGTCATGTATTGAGTACTATCTATTCTGTGCTCAAAAGGCTACCAGCTCTGGACTATGGATCACTCACGACTTACTGCAAGAGACCCATGAACCTCATAGCAATCTGGGAGGCAGTGTGTAAATTAAACAACACAGCCTACCTTGCTACTGTATTTCAGTATGGGTACTATTTTGAATAATGAAATAAATCTATTTAAAAGTATTATTTGATTTTTACTGGTTTTTGCCATGGTGCATTTTCTCAATTCATGGATAATAAAGTACAAGGGTGTGAACGTGTGTATGTTGCCCTACAAATATTTTGTTGTTTGAAAATGAGTATTCGTAATTGAGACGGTTGAGAGCCAGTATTTTAACTATAAAAGAGTTCCCTGATCAAAGTGAGTGCCGAGGAACCCTGGCTTGATTTAGACCTGTTTATCCCTTGTCCCTGGTGACTCCAGCTCTGATGTTATGGGGGCCAATATCATTCTTGAGAGTGTGCCCCCAGTTTGGGTTTCAGAAGCACAGGCGCCTCCTGCCGACACAGCTGTTCCTGCTTTTGAGGCTTAGTCGCTGTGGGGGGTTATTGGGGTGGGTGGCTGGTTGGCTGTGTAGGCAGAAAGCATCACACTAGATGTGTTGTTTTCCAAGTGTACAAGACTGATCTGGAGAAGGACATTGTCTCCGACACTTCTGGTGACTTCCGCAAGCTGATGGTTGCCCTCGCAAAGGTGGGTTTCTGGGTTTATTTGACCGGCCTTGCTTCCTCCCAAGGCAAGTCACATACCTCATTTTATACTTGAGAACAAATTAACTAAATCCTCTGTGCCTGCATCAGAAATTCTGCTGCATTTCCGACAGTGGGTTTGCACCGTCGCTGCCGAGTTGTCATTTTTGGATAATAGGATTTCTTATCCTGAGAAACCGCATGGACAACTGGACTTTGGGGGCCAGAGGAGGAATAGGCAGTTCTCAAGTTCTGGCCTGGATTTATGTGCCAAGTGTCTCCATGTGACTTAGGGAAGGTCACTTTGCCTCTATCTGTGGCCGCACAGGACTCATTGGGAAGTGACCCTCTGTATCTCTCACTTCCCACTTCTTAATGAGAGCATTTGTCCCTGCAGTCCTTTGTCTGGGGTGGGGCTCTCTTTGTGGAACTGATTGCTAATGATGACACATTAACATGGATGAAAGGTGCTTCCCCTGTGACTATTAAGTTCTTGCCCTGTGCCACTTAATGCCTGCGTCAGGGGAGAAGGAAATTCTGTTCTCTGGGAACCCTGATGGCAAATGACTGATCAGCGTGTTACACCCTGGCCCACTCCCATCTCTATTATTACGACAACTCCCCTGCTCTCTTCATCTGTCACCAGCCTGTGCACTGCTACCCTCAGATCATTATGAAATTCACTTTCACATTTTATCCCCTGATCAGAACCTGTTTCTGTTGCATCAAATTCAGACTCCCAGCTGCCCTCACCCTGGGCCTCTCCGCCTCCGTCCTCGTCACTGGGATTCTCTCTAACTCTGCTCTGTCCCCACCTGTGCTGTCCCTCTTATGGGGAATGGCTTCCCGCCTCCTTTCACTCGTCACTCAGGGTTCAGCCTTAGCCACACCCCATTATCCCCAGACCTGCTGACTCTGCTTTCTGAAGAGTTCTCCTTTCTTTTGCATTTCTGGTCATCTGAGTGCCCGAGAGTATTGTCTTACCCTGTGTTCCATACTTCATTCTCCATCCGATTGCAAGGTCCCTGAAGGAAAGAATTAAATGTCTTCAGCTCTTCTTGGGGGAGGCGGATCCTGTAAGGTGCACAGCCAGGCCTGGGTTCTGAGGGGGCCGAGGATGGCGAGGAGCGCAGACTTTTCACCTCCCTGGACTGCCTCACCCTCCTTGGTCTTGTCTGGACTCAAAGTGAAAAGAAAAAGTATAAGTGGGTGTTCGTATAGTAAATTAAATAGTTGGGGGAAAAACAGTTTCAGTTTTAAAATACACAAAGGAATAGATTTGATGTTCTTATTTTTCCCCCTAGGGTAGAAGAGCAGAGGATGGCTCTGTCATTGATTACGAACTGATTGACCAAGATGCCCGGGTAAGTACCAAGCTCTATGGTTTAAATTCGTATTTTTTTTATAAATCTCTGGAGAGTCTGTATAATCATCTGTTTTCTGTGTAACTGATTATCTCAAAACTTAGGGATGTGAAACAACAAACAGTTATTATCTCTCAGTTTCCGTGGGTTAAGAATTGGGGAGTGGCTTGGCCAGGTGGCTTAGGCTCAGGGTCTCTTGTGAAGTTGCAGATGAAATGTTGGCCACGGCTGTGATTGCCGGGGGGTCTCACAGGCTCAGAGGGATCTCTTCTTAGACTGCCCGCCCTTGTGGTTATTGGCAGGAGGCCTTAGCATCTCCCCACTGGGCTCTCTCCAGGGTTGCTCGAGTGTCCTCACAACATGCAGCTGGCTTTCTCCTGAGTGAGTGATCCAAGAGCCAGGAGGAAGCCCCAGTGCCTTTGATAACCCAGTCTCAGGAGTCACACACTGTCCCTCTGTCATAGTTTTTTCATTAAAAGTAAGTTCCTGAGTCTAGCTTACAGTCACTAGGTGGAGAATTTGCTTCCACCTGTGGAAGAGAGGAACTTGAAAGAATCTGTGGCCATGTTTTAAACCCACAGCAGTCTGAGAATGAGAGTTTCTCCTTCACTTTCTGAGGGGATTATTTTTTAGGATGTATTTCCTTTAATGCTGGTATTAATTAGCAGATCACTAGTTGACTCACTCACCCTCATTCAGGCTTTGCTTGTCTGGAAGCACCAGCTTCTGCCGGGTGGGATGTGGCCGTGCACACCAACAGAGTGAGCGCTTGGGGAAGCAGACGGTGGTAAAGGCACAGCCAGGGATGGGGAGGCTTTCTGCTCTGCTGTGGTGGGAGCAGAGGAGAGCTACAGAGGTCTGTCCTCTTTTCTGGCTGAAAAGAACTTTGCCATAATCACTGAGAACTATTCGTGAAGCTGATGTAGATTCCTCTAAACTGTATGCTAGATCTAGAGGGTCAACTGTTAGCTCAAAGTGTGCCATAAAAGTTATAGAAAAAAAATTAATTTGAATTCATTTTAGTTTTAAAATTCAGAATATGCTGGGTAGCATATTTAGCAAGAGGTGGAGAGGGGTTTTAAATCAGTAATAGAAATTGGGTTTTGCAGATGATGGAGAATCAATGAATGAGTCTCTCTCCGTATAGAAGCCTTTCTTCCTCACCTTCAGCCATTCTTACCTTTACTTATGGCCCTTAAATTTTCCTGGAAGCTGAAAAATGAGATTGGAATGGCTCCTTTTCTGCTCCATTATTTACTGAGTTTCTTGGATGGGGCTGCCTTCTTTTAGTAGAATCTCTCAGTCCCTCTTAATATGAAAAGCTCTCAGCCTTTCCCTTCATGTTCAAGGAAGGTGTACAGCACCAGCCTCATGAACAATCTGCATTCTTACTTTGTGTCTGTCTGTGCCTAATGAAGATGGCTATAAGACTCTTGACCTAAATGGTACATTTTTGGTCAAGTCTGTAAGGGCACCCTTTCTCATTTGGCATTTTGAACGTGCAGCTCTTTGGATATTTTTATATGACATTTCTCTTGACCTTTTTTTGGATCATATAGTTAACTTTTCCTTGTTGGCTTTGCTTGTAGGATCTCTATGATGCTGGAGTGAAGAGGAAAGGAACCGATGTTCCCAAGTGGATCAGCATCATGACTGAGCGGAGTGTGTGCCATCTCCAGAAAGGTGGGTGCTGTGCTGAGGAGGTCTTGTCACCCTAGGGCTCTGAGCTGGGCTGGGTGGTGTCCATCCTGGGGCTCAGGTCTGCAAGAATAAGACTCACTCTCTGCTTGGCCCTCCCATAGGCTCTCTGGTTTTCTTTCACCAAATCCATTTGCCTTTCTCTGTCATTCTGGAGCCTTCTCTCTCCCAAATGTCATCATATTTGGCACTGAGTTTGCTTCTCTTCCTTGTTTGAGGAACATTTTATCTTGACATATTTGTTGAAACAAGGGCTTGGCTGGGTGCTTTGTATTCTTTCTCAAGGCTTCCAGATAGAAAGGGTTCCACTCACGGGAGATGGACATGCTACAATCTGTGACCTGGGTCATGCCATTCGGGACAGGTGCATGACCTGCTGCTCTGAAGTAGACTGGTGCAGTGCTGGCTCTGGTCCACAATGGCAACCTCTAGCTGCCCAAGACACTACCTATGATCAACCTCATTCTTTCTTTATTGTGGTGCCTAGCCATGTGGGTGACCATTGCAGCACTGACCAGTGGCTCTGACATAATGATGATTTGTGGCATTTCCTTAGTATTTGATAGGTATAAGAGCTACAGCCCTTATGACATGTTGGAGAGCATCAAGAAGGAGGTCAAAGGAGACCTGGAAAATGCTTTCCTGAACTTGGGTAAGCAATCAACCCTAGTGGACACCAACTTTCAGAGAACAGTATGGAATCAGAAGGAATGAATGGCCATCCTCTTAACTCAAGTGGATGTGGGAAGAGTGGTGTCTAGATGTAATTTGAATAGTTTTGTAATCTTAATTCTTAAGCGTAAAGATGCAAAACTGAAGAACAGCTTCACTTGGTAGAACAGAGTTGGCAGGAAGAATAAGGCAAGAGAAGAGGGGGCTGTGGTGGAGAAATTCACATGCATGCTTGGGTTTCTGCAGCCCTCAGAGTGCCCTGGTTGAAAACCACAGCGGAGCTTAGTAGTTCAGAGGATTGCAGTTTCCCTTAACCTTTTGCATCCTGCAGCCCACATCTGCTGCATCAGGTCATTTCTGGTTGGTGCCCTGGGGTCAGGGCATCATTTCCTCCTGGAGAAGGTGAGATGAGCACTGTACCTCTGATGCCCTTTCTTTTCTCCACAGTTCAGTGCATTCAGAACAAGCCCCTGTACTTTGCTGATCGGCTGTACGACTCCATGAAGGTAAGGGCAACTGGCCAAGAAGCCCATGTTCCCATGTGATTCGTATTTTATGCCCTAAACTAAATCTCCTTGACTGGTGGATGGAGGGAGGGACCCCAGTGTCTGGAAGCAAGAACACACTAGTCAGCTCTGGTTACATTTGACAGGTGAGAAAAGCACAAGTCCTTCCTCTCTGAACTACTTGAACATGTGTTTGGGTTCAGGGAGAAAATAAGTGCCCCTGGAGGGAGGAAGTGCTAAGGGGTGGTGCTGTCTGGTTCTTGCAGGTGGTGTGGTTCAGTAATTTCCTGCTGTTACCCCCAGAGGAAAGACAGGCGAGGACAGGAGTAGTAGTGAGCACCCTCTATGCCATAGCCATTGTGCCCCTTACCTCCTTGACTGAAACCCTGCAAGGTTTATATGCTTTAAAGATGAGGGGACTGGAGCTCATGGAGCCTCAGTCTGCTTGAAGTTTTGCAGCAGATCTGCACCTGTCTGACTCCAAAGCCAGCTCTGCGAGTCTCCGTGAACTAACCATCTCTTCCCATAGACCCATCCCATTTTTCATTCCTTGGACATGCCACATGGACATGCCTCCAGGCCTTTGCTGCTTCTCCCTGGAGCACCTTCCTTGTCCATGTTGCTTCTCTGCCATTTCTACTTGAGTTCCATGTCAGATGTGACCCTTTCCTTGATGTTCTCAGCCTGAGGCTCTGGAAGTACACTCAGGGGTCCTTACTGTCTCTACCATTCGCATTGGCATAGAACCATGAGAAAGATGTGTGGCAAGTCCTCTCTAAGCCCCCGAGAGGCAGCAACCTTTTGTCATGTACATAAGGGTTCAGGCTTCTTGGGCTGAGCTTTGTAAGAATAGGTGCTCCATAGACATTTATTGAATGGACGAGTAAGGTTTGTGCTGATTAAATCTTGGTGTGTTTGGAATTCCAAGATGATCTTTGTTTCTTGAGGAAAAAGTTCCACAATTGTGTTTTCAATCTCTCAGGCAGCCTCAAGAAGCAGGAGTGTGCCAGAAAACATATTAGATGCTTTTTAAGTGATAACATTGTCGGGGGATTTAACTTGGAATATCAATTTGACTTTCAGGGCAAAGGGACTCGTGATAAGGTTCTGATTAGAATCATGGTGTCCCGCAGTGAAGTGGACATGTTGAAAATTAGGTCTGAATTCAAGAGAAAGTACGGCAAGTCCCTGTACTACTACATCCAGGTAAGGCCCCTGGTGTTAGGTTGGCCCTGCCTGGCCATCCAAAGGGCTTGGGGTCCCCAGGCAGCTAGCCAATTTTTTCTGTTTTCTAAGTCTCTGGGGAAGAAATGTTGGTCACCAAATATCAGGAATTCACTTTGAGAGGTACCCTTTATGATTTGTCCTGGATTCCGTAGAAACAGGCCAGTATTTTATATTTCCCATGTCTGTTACTCTACAATGATAATGGTGTTTATCAGGATGATCCTACAAGAGTTGGTGACATCCTGAAGAAACTCTGAACACCAATTAAAGTTTGTATTCTGTTGTATTTCTACAAAAATATTTCTTGAAAAATTGTTAGAAAATCATGACAGCATTTAGTTACTTAGAACTCCTGTCTCTTCATTCAATTTGGTCTCTGTCCATTTTAGAGTGATGGAACATTGGTATAAAGTGATTGCATTCATAGTGGTGCCACTGTGCCTAGATCAGACAAGCTTGGAAAATCCCTTTTTAAAAGATTCTGAAATTTCTAAAGGCGTGTATATGGTTACTAAGGATATATTTGGAGGTGGGTTCGGTCAACCTAGGCTTCTTAGGGCATGTGTTTAAAATTGATGGACCAGTTAGATTCTTGGTAATTGTTTCCTCACCTCACTAGCACATTTCCTTGTAACTTAAGAGGCCATGACATAGCAGTGAGGAGGAAAGGTCTCCAGTTCTCTGTGGAAGGGTGGGGGAACAAGAGGCACAGGGAACTATTTTCAGGACCTCACTGCAGGCAGAGCTACAACTCTTCTCTGCCCTTGGGATTGTATTTGGAAATCTCCCAAGCATGTTTTCCAGCCACACTCCCAGGGGGCCTGACAGAGCTGTGGCCCTCTAGTGTCTGCATGCAGGAAGAACCTGCAGAATCCTTCTTGGGTCATGGAAGAGACTCACCTGTGCTCCAGGGCTGCTTGCAGGTTTCTGTGGAGTTGGGTCTTTTTCCTGATACAGCATTTCTCTTTTCTCCATGGCCACTTGTAGCAAGACACCAAGGGCGACTACCAGAAGGCACTGCTGTACCTGTGCGGTGGAGATGACTGAAGCGCGGCAGGGTGAAGCGCCCAGAAACGGCGTCCCCTGTGCTCCCACCTAACCTTCTAGAGGATCAGCTTGCGACTAACAGACCCGTCTCCTCCCTGTGAAGATAATGTCTGCCTTGCCCCCGCCCCCTTACTTTAGTTGCCTAAGCGTTGCCTGGCTTTCCCACCCATCCTCTCCTTTAAGCCAAAGAAAAGAACATTCCAAGGATTTGGAAGTGAAGTCTATGATGTGAAACACTTTGCCACTTGTGTATTGTGTCGTGAATAAACCGAGTTTTTACTTTAGAAACAAACACTTTGTTGGCCTTGCTTTCCATTTAATGGTTTAAAAATCACGCATGCTTAGGATCCTGTTGTTTAATGGGTGAGCCTGTCCCTAAAGGAAGAGGGAGAACTGGGCCGTCTGATTCAGTAGACACGATCCAGATGTGGCTCTTTAAGTATAAGTGAATTTAAATCATACAAAATTAAAAATTTAGTTCTTCTTTCATGCTATCCACATATCAAATGCCTTGTATCCACCTGTGGTGAACAGGTCATATACTGGATTTTGCCTGGGGAGAGCATTTCCATTATAACAGAACCTTCTGTAAGCAGCACTTTCTGCCCTGGAGATGGGAGGACCTGTGGAGGGAATACCCCCAAGTGACTCCTCACCTGCTCAGCTTTTTATAGGTAAATTAGGTGAAAACAAGTATCTTGGTGGCATCAAACTGGGGAGAAAATGGGGAGGTGGATTCTGCTTAGCAAATATTGTTAACATTTCTAGACATCAAAATAAATAATATCCTGCCCCCACTTCAAGAACTCAGTGCCAGTAGGTTTGGCTACAGCCTTCCTGTAAAGGGCTAGCAAGTGAATTGAGAGCACAGAAAGGAAGCTAATGTCTTTGAGTGGGTGGGCTGGGAAAGATGAAGTGAGAAGGAGGCATATCAGCTGTGCCCTAAAATCTCACATGAAGTTTTAGAGCTGGGAGGAAGCTCTCCATGCGGGTTCTTAAGGTTCAGATAATGGATAATTATCATTCCTATGACTGGGACACCTTCCAAAAGGTACAGTGACCACCTAGAGGGAAGACCATGGTTACCTCTCACTGTTCTCCCCTTCCAGCCAGTGGCCTTCTCTACAGTCAGTGGTGTCTGGTATGTCCTTGCACAAATAGTCTGCATACTATGCGTGTATGTGTATATGTGTCTACCGATGCTTAGGAATGTGAAGGTGCTATTTGTAAGCTGCTAACCCAGGACCCTGCAGACTTCTTTTCTGAGTACTTTTCTGAGTAGAGTAAGACTGGGGGAAGTGGTGACACCTCCCACGCCCTTCCACATCAGAGGATGCTGAGTCTACTGCTAAATCTTGGTACCTGGCTGAGGTAGAGCAAGCTCAGCAGTCTGCAGGGACTAGGCAGGTAATGGAAATATGTGAAATGGGCTAGACGGACAGAAGTGGGGAGTCTAGAGAGGTGGAGGATGCCTGCCCCACTTAAGGCATCCAAATTCAATTAAAACAACAGCAGCAACTGTGTCTCCCAAACCAAATAACTGTGAGCTGATTGGTTGGTTATTGTAACCCCTTTGGCAAACTTTGGATGGAGTGTGGCCCATGAAGTATCTCTTAGGCCACTGAGATTTTCTTCTAAAACCAGGTTATGCAAACATAAGGTGTTTTATCAAATATGACCTCCAGTGCCTGTTAGAATTGATGCCCCAGATCCAAGATGTACTCTTCCTTGTGCTTGAGGCAGAGTTCAAGGAACTGCATAGGAAGAGGACCTTTCTGTTTAACCTTAAATTCTCATGTTGAATTCAGAATGGATAGGGCCGGGAGAGGCTGTCGGAGCAATGTTACAGCATTTAGGTTTTCTTTCACCCAAACAACATATTTCAGGCTACAAAGGAAATAGTTGAAAGAGAAGGTAAGGTGCTGTGGTGGGGGGGAAGGCTGGTCTGGTTGGCTCAGACCCTCTGTCAGGTGTGAGGGAAAATCCAAAAGGCAGGCTGCACAGGGCAGGGTCTTAGAGATCTGCTCCAAACACGCCTACTGTCTCTCCTCTGTGTGGAGCCATAGATGTCTGTCTAGTGTTTTCCAAAAATGACAGTGAGGGCACAAGGAAATTTGGTCTCATTTTCTTCTGGATTCCAGCCTGTCCTCTGTCAAGTTTTCCAAGCCATTTCTCGAAATAAAGACAACCATCTGGAGATCTGAATATTCTCCCATCCAATTTTACTTTGCAAAGAGATGGGAAAGGGCACCAGGCAGGCTTTCACGTTTTGTGAGCTGATAATAATAAAAAGTTTGACTTTATTCTTTGAGGAATAAGACAGTGAATGTGCTTCCCAGCTGTGCAAACTTGTTACACTATGACACTGTGAACAAGAACATGACATTTCCCCCCGACCCAGGTAGGGGCTGAGCAAGGCTGTGTGCCCAATTTGACAATTCCTTCACTTCATAGTCCACGTGTACATTTTCTCCCCTGAAGTGGTAAAGCGCACAATCTGAGCAGCCGTTTGTGATAGCCCTCTGTTGGGACCCCTGGCATGCGTCAAACAGTTTGTTAGGTATTTTTCCAGAGTTGGCTTCCCAATTAAAAAGTAAGAAGACGAATCTTATTTGGAAACTCATGGATGAACTCCTCAAGGTTCCCCACCCATTTTACTAGGCTATGGGCAAATGACTATGTATATGAATCTTCCCCTGGAGGTGAAGTTCCCCTGGTGTAAATTATTAGTAAAGATAGATAAGGCAGGGAAAACCAGGCTCCCAAAGTAGCTGCATTTAGCAAGAAAAATGATTTGAGGACAGAAATCTTTTAAATCAATTTTTAGTCTCTAAATGACTCCAATCTCCAGGCTTCTCCCTGCGTTTTGACAAATGGCTTTGGCTTCTTATCCACATCAGTTTATTTGACCTCCTTTTTCCATCAACTACCAAAATGAAAACTCCACTGCAAGAGAGAGAGAGAGAAGGAGCAATTCTGAACATCCCTTAGCAATGAGGCAGAACATGCTATAGCCATCAAGTTCTAGTTGTTCATTCTATTTATTGAAAAAAGCCTGTAGCCTGATTTCTTTTATGCGAGTACATTTGAGCAAGCAAAGTTTATAGAGATGACTTATCTCATTACATTAGAAGAGTGATTTGCTATCTCAGCATCTATAAGCAATTTTAACAGACATTTCTGGCTGAAGAAAAGCTTTTGTAAATATATGCGAAAGACACGATTTCATCAAGCATTAAATTGGAGGTGCCCTGGAAAAATATTACATTTGTGCATTCAATTAGCTTGATTGTGGCTGAATTTTGTCCACTGAAGGCAGCATTTCTGCAGAAAAACAGAAGCATTCCCTATGTCAGCAGGTTTCCCGAAACAGAAAAGCACACTTTCCCCCTTGCACATCCTCTTTTGCATTTGTGCTGCTCCGAGCTCTGTGCTCCTAATCAGGCCACTCAGTCCGGTTCATGATGGAGAGTGAGGAGAGAGTGAACTAGGCGCCTCTTTCTTCAGCCTTGTAGAAATCCAAACCCAACCATCCCAGTTCAAACAGCCTGCTTCCAGTCTGAAAGCTAGACAAGCTCTGGGCAAAATTGGAACGTGGTCAAGAATGGACCTAAGTCCCCCAAATGTCCCTCCTGTTATCTCTCTCTCCTTTAGGGATTGTAGGATGTTGTCTAAAATTGAGTGCAGCTGCTGGCCCATAGACCTTTCCCGGAGGTAAGTATATAGGACCCACCTTTCTTCCATCCTCGGATGAAAGCTTTGTTCTCCAGTTACTGGGATGAGAGGAGTTAGTAAGTAGAGACTGGAGGGCTGCAAGAGGGTATGGACCCCAAAGCCATAGTGAAGAGATGAGCCAGGTATACTTGCCCACCACTTAATGACAGAGACACATTCCAAGAACTGCATCACCTGGTGAGTTTGTTATGGTGTCAACATCATAGGGCACACTTACACAAACTAAGACGGCTATGATATCACTAGGTAATATAATCTATGGGACCACTGTTATGTATGTGGCCCACCACTGAACAAAATGTTAGTATGGGGTATGTGACTGTGTTTAGGATAGTCAAATTGGAACTTTTCTAGCGATAATCCACTGTAGCCCAAGGCTATTATATATTTGCTTTCAGGTAAATTTCTAAAATCAAATAGTTAAATTCAAGAAACAATAAGATTTGGGAATTGAAAAAAAATGTTTGAAAGAAGTTTTATGTTACTATATCAGTGAGGTTGCTGGATTTCAAATTTTACCATGGATTCTTGAATTTTAGAGAATCATCTTGTCTTAAAGGGCGACAATTTGTCCTAACAGGTATGAATTCACACATGACTAGGAAGATTTGGATGGGGAATATTAAGTGCTATTTTATTTTTTGGTACCAGGGATTGAACTCAAGGACACTTAACTCCAGCCCTTTATGTTTTTCATTTTGAGACAGGGTTTTGCTAAGTTGCTGAGGCTGGCCTTCAACTTGAGATACTTCTGCCTCAACTTCCCAAGTTGCTGGAATTATAGGCATGTGCCACCATGCTGACTTTAGGAAGATTTTTTTTTCTTTTTCTTTCTTCTGTTTTCTTTTTTGGTACCAGGGATTGAACACAGCGATAGTTAATCACTGACTCACATCTCCAGCCCTTATTTATTAATTTATTTTGAGATAGGGTCTTGTTAAGCTCTGTGTAGAGCCTTGCTAAATTGCTGAGACTGGCCTTGACCGTTCCATCCTCTTCCTTAGCCTCCCAAGTTGCTGGAATTACAGACATGTGCCACTGTGCTTAGGAAGATTTTTTTTTTCTTTTATTGACATTGGAGATTGAACCCAGGGGCACTTAACTGCTAAGCTACATCTCCAGAAACCTTGCAGTTGTCTCCTAGATGAGGATCAGCCACTCAGCACCCCGCAAGTGCCATGGTTTCCTCTGTCACCGCCCTTCTGGCTGCACATGGTCAGGCTGCTTTCTTCTTACTCCCCCTATCCCCAGTGTTTAACTCAGTGACCAGCATACAGTTAGCATGCCTACTGGGTTGATGAATAAGTCAACAAATGAGCAAATGAACAACTAAGGCAAAACATTACCTGCATTAACTCCAGACTTTAAAAATCTTTAAAAACTGGGTGCTGAGGTGCACACCTGTAATCCTACTGGCTTAGGAAGCTGAGGCAGGAGGATAGCAAGTTCAAGGTCAGTCTCAGTAACTTATCAAGACCCTAAGCAACTCATTGAGACCCTGTCTCTAAATAAATGTAAAAAGGTCTGGGGATGTGGCTTAGTGGTTAAATGCCCCTA